CACACAAACAAGATATATATATGTATGTACGCATGTGTGTTTGTACTTTTGTGTGCACACCCCAATGCAATAGGCTGCACATGTCTATGATGATAACCAATAAGTATGCTGGATGCTAAAGGTATACTTCGAGTGGACTTATCAGATGATGTGTATATTTTCATAATAAAGTGGAAATTCATCCTAGAATGAACATCAGCCATGTAACTCATGTATCTAGATAAAAGCATAGCACCACGTTTGACTTCTATCCATACTTCAGCTGTCCATCAATCAGCATTGGAAACTGCCAGCCATTTCCCAGCGACACCATGGAACTTGCGGTGTTGCTCAGCCCCCCTAATGTTATCAATGTCTCTGACAGTATCAGGGCAGAGAGGAAACATTTCCGAACCAGGCTTTGCAAGCACAAAAGGTAGATAGCATGGGGGGGGGGTCTAAGTGACAACATAGGTATCTCCATGGGGGCTGAGGCAGCAGAACAGGCAACTAACAGCATCCCTCTCTCCCCCCGGCTGACAGAGCGGCCACCAGCCACCTCCTGCCCTGCTGACAGCTCGGCCTCAGACTGCCCTCTGCCTCCTTCTTAGCCAAGCAGGTGAAAAGGGTAGGGATGGCCCTGGGTGGAGCTCTCCTGAGCAAAGAGGCACATGACTGGGTGGGCTGATAGAAAGAAAAAATGAGAGGGGAGGAGTGTAGTGTTTTGCTTAGGGAGGTAGTGACGTGCGGGAAGGGGAAGAGCACATTAAGGCACCAAGGGATCAGAAGTGTGTGGATAAAGTTTCTCGTACCCTCCCTCCCTATTTTCTTTTGTGGGTTCATGTCTGTGGGGTCATTTGTTGGATTTCAGGGGGGTTTTTTTCACAGCAGAGCAAGTCCTTGACAGTTCCAAAAAGGAATGAAACTCATTTCTAGGATTATATTTGGGAATGGTTGTTGTATGCAACAGTCACATAAACTAGTTTTGAGATTCACGGGAGTTGAAAAAGGAAGGATTCCCAGTAGTGTGGCAAGGCTCTAAATTTGTCATTGTGGAATGTACCCATAGGCATGGTGTGTAATGGCTGGAGGCTGGTACAGATGACCAAGGGATCGGAATTCTGGTGGCGCTGTTAAGGAACTGCTTCATAGGATCCATTTTTGTTGGATGTTTTTGGTTTGTTGTTAGGATGTTGATGTTATTATTGTGTCAATATTTAAGTATGGTAACTTAATTTTGTAATAAAGCCGTGGCCAACGAATAATCCAAAGAATTAAGTAATTTATGTGTGTATTTATAGGACATTTGTGTGGAGTGGCTTTAAAACAGAATTCCAGGGAATTTTTTTTAAACTTGCGGTGGGGTTACCACCCCCCCCCCCCACACACACTGCAAGGTTTAAAGGAGAACTATGGGGTCAGGGTTTTTCCCCATAGTTCGCCTAAGGGTCACGGGAGAACACAAACTAGCGTCCTCCCGTGACCCAAAGCTCAGTATACCGTGAGCTACGGCTCGCTGTCGAGATTCACCCAGCTGCGGGATTGACAGCTGGCTCTGCCTATCCAGAGGCAGAGCCAGCTGTGCTCGCCCCCTCCCCCGTCCGTTCCACCATTCAGCGCTGGAGGATTGGACAGGGGAGGGGGGAATCCCTGCAGGGAGCTGTGAGTGACAGTCACGGCTCTCTGCAGGGACAGGATCGAGAAGTGAGCGAGCTCCGGTATGTGTTCGCTCACTTCCCGATCTACTGAGTCGACGTGTGACAGTTTCATTGTCACAGGTCGGCTCAGATTATGAGGCTGAGTGAAAATCACTCGCCTCATAATTCTCCTTTAAGTGCTTGTTTTGGTCTAGGCAGGGACATAAAGTTATACACACCCAATCCTCGAGCTGGCCCAGCTGTCACAGCACTCCTTGAAGCCTCTCTCTCCTCCTTGTCTGCAGTAATGTTATGTCCATTGACGTCTTCAAGTCCTATACACTATGTATAAACGTGGTGCCTCATGGACCTAGTTGCTGCAGCGGAGGGGTAGAGTGGCTCTAGGGATTGGTCTAAGAGCAAGCTGGTTCCAAGGAACAGGTGAGTATAGCTTTGTTATTTTCCTCCCTAGACCAAAACGATCACTTAACTATTGCAGTGCGGGGGTAGCCCCACTTCAAGGGTTGCCCCGGAGTTCTTCTTTAAGGGAGTGGTTGTTTTCTGGTACTTGTATTTTCTTTCGGTATTCAGCCCTACCCAAGTCATGCTTTTGCTAACCTGTAATATATATTTAATTTTTTTACTATGCATATAGTCCTACTTTAAATCCAACTGGGTTACTATTTCCCTATTTCCCAAAGAATGCTATGGTGAGCCAGACACAACTTGTTGTGATAAGTCCAATGTCTACTCTGTATCCGCTCATATTGAAGATTAATGCACAGAAGAAAACTGATAACTTTGGTACTTTCCAAGGTTACAGTGAAATATCACACTATGTGCTAGGAGCGAATTTGGTATGCACAGACCATTCCTAATTGAATATCTGTAACCGCAGACCATCATATTCGTTCTAACCTGTGTTTTTGAAGGTTGCTCTGCTGCACCTATTCTGACTTCAAAGTCTCACATCAAATTAAAGCTTTGAGAGTTTAGATCATGATCAAAGCAATTTTTTCAAAAATACCAGTTTTCTGTTAACTGAATTGTGTTGCATGAATTATTTTAATATCTGAGGTGTGTGCAGCACTGTGACTTTGGCTCTTTTATCTGTGTACTCAAGCTGCTGCACATGCACAACTCCTAGTGGGACACAAAGACAGTAAGAGACAGCAAAGCGGTAACGTGAGACATTCCCTCAGGGCCTGTTAACACCATAACGTTGTGTTAATTGCACAATACCGTGTATGCACTGCAACGCACGGCCACCAGTAGGTGCGTTGGGGTGCCATTGAAATGAATGGCAATGCAACGCTCCTAGCACATGGTAACACATGCAATACCATACTGTGCAATAGCATGCTTTGAACACATGGTATCATGCTATTAACACAACCCATAGTGTGAACAGACCCTTATAGTTTGAGAAAACTATGTGAAAACATATAAACTATATATACTGTAGTATTAGTGAATGCTTCATAAATGTATTTGTACTTACTCATCATAAACATCTTCTGTGTCCATTCTGCGATAGAACTTTGCTAACTTGACAGCAAAAATGATGGCAGGAATTAAAAATATTGTAGATCCTCCCAAACCAAACCAGAATGAGTTCTGTACAGACACAAAATAGATCTTTGTTTATAAGGAAGACTAGAAGCCATGCCAAACTAAATACAGTGATACACAGAATACAGTGTACTGATAAGATTTGAATTAGTGCCATTCAATACATTTAGGCCTCATTCACATGGGTGGGTTGCTCCGTACAATGTGAAGGGCTGGTTGTTGATGTGTCCTGGGCTGCAGGAAGAAATGTGCGAGCAGCTCATGTAACTCTACGTAGACTCAGGAGCTGTGCGCCCTCACACATTGCTTTCCACAGCTCCGAGTTTTGACAACTGCACACAAACAATTTACAGGCCTGGAGGCCATACACCGTCTTTGTGCAGCTGTCAAAACTCAGAACTTTCTCACAGTGGACATTTTCCCTCACTTCCTATCCTGGTTGCACCCTGTGTGGCAGGTAGTACTAGGACAGGAAGTTAGAATATATCTCCTGATTTGTGAAACAAAAAGCCAGAAAAAAAAGGCTTGGCTAGAAAATACAAAAGTTGCACTTACTATGCCTTTTTTACGTGACCAAATGATCAAAATGATGGTGATAACTGATTGGAATCACCACAGCACCAATCATAAGCCATTTTTTTTAACAGTTCTCATGCCGATTTTGATTATTTTGCGACTCAAAACAGGAAAACATTTGAAAGAATTAGTAATGTCCAAGTATATGGCGAGGAGTATTCATCTTAATTTGTTGGTGAAGCCAAGGCCACTAGACCACAGAGTGGGCCACGGAAATCCTGTTATGATCACTAAATTTTACAGCTGAGGTATCACTGTTCTCCAAATATACAATTACTTATAAATGAGAGAGATATCGCAGCTCTGCAAATGAATCATGACCTTGCAACTACTTTGATGTACCAATTGGTTTTACAAGATGTGGTTAACTGTACCTATATTTTGAATATAATATATAAAAGATGTAGTTAAGCTGATGAAGTCGATCTCTGCTTCATCAGCTTCTCTGGGGGTCCTTAGGAGAGACCCCTGATGTCTCCATAAAGAGGACCTGTCATGTAAATTGGCTATTACATAGGGGGCTTCTTCGCCCCCCATGTAATAGCAATAAAGCTGTTTGTAAAAAAAAAAAAAGTAATACTAAAATTAAAGAATTATAAAAAAATAAAGCATAAAAAAAGAAAACATTTAAGTCCCCGCCCCCACATACACAAGCAGATATGCGTCGGGGGCGCCTTCGTGCGAAAAGGGCGATTGCGCCTATTGTGCCGCACATGTTAAACATCGGCGCAAACGTCGGAGTGAGAGCAATCATTTTAGAGCCATTAATCACTGATAATACTAAACTGATGAGCAGTAAAAGCGGTTTAATCGTCGCCTATGGGCGTTTTTTAGCGATTTTGCGGGTGCACTCAATTTTAAGGCTTGACATGTTTGGTGTCTATTTGCCCGACATGACCCCAAATTTTATGTTTTACTAAAAATATGGGTAAGAATAAATGTTTTATAACATAACGTAGGGAAACTTTTTTTTTTTTGCATTTATGGTACTTTTTTTATTCTATAGTAAAAAAAAATAACCCCCCGTGGTGATTATATACCTCCAAAGGAAAGCTCTATCTGTCCCCAAAAAATGTTAACATAAATTGCAAGGCTAGAGACCGGTCATGCTGACTGGTGAAATTTTTGACTGACTGGTGAGAGACCATCAATTTTTTCAAGCCGTATATATATCATGTTGATCAGTATTGCTTCTGACCTGAAGAAGAGAGGTTCACTCTCGAAAGCTTGTCTTTTATATATTTTGTTAGTCCAATAAGAAAGGTATATACTGTATATGAGATGGGGAGGGGAGGTGGAGAGCAGGAATGATCATGAAAAAATGATCCTACCACTGAATTAATAATGTAGCTGCATAAAAACACATCCACGGCGGTGTCTATAGCATTGGCTATGGGTTTACATCCAGCAACGTCCAAGGCTATCTGAAAAGACATAGATCAAGCAGATTAGGATGGTTGGATCAGGATAATGACAGAGGATATCAAACTTGTAAAAGTAACACAAGCCTTGTAATCATAAAGGATTTGTATAATGCGTATCCCACTTATTGCTCAAAATTTATTGCATGCCACTACTGTCTTTAATTTCCATGTTTAACAAGGTTGCAGTAAGTCTGGATGAATGATGTGTTATTACAAAACAGGGACTGGAATGAACACTCACATCAAAAGTTTGTGGAATCCTAGTCTACACCATGATATTTCAGAAAATACAAATACAGAAAAATGAATGCATCACCAAGAGCCCGAATGTTATCTGCAGTTGTAAGTCTTTTATCCCTATTTCTTATCAATAGGTTCTGGTAAACTGAGCTATAAGGAACCGAATAGAGGGCTTCCTGGCTCCTGTTAGCCCACCTTACCTTAACCTGCCCAGTTATCTGTTTGTTGGTCACATGCCCTACTTCATAGCAGCCATGGTTTTTAGTACATCAATGAGCAGCTATATGCAGTTTGTAATAAATAGCTACTCTATCACTACTTAAGTAGTACTACTTACTCGTCTATCAGAAATGTTTGGGTTTTAGATATAAAGAGGAGCTAGTATCTAATACATTTTTTGAAGCTATGTGCATGCATCCTAAGTTATTTTGGAGTGTAAAACTTCCAGGTATGTATTACCTCTCATAGAGATCCCCCTGACATTGCCTTTATCTGCTTTTTCATAGGGATCACAGTTCCCTCTCACCCTGCTCCTCCCCCCCTCCGTTATCCCCAGACAATGCCTTCATCTGCTTCTTCATAGAGATCACAGTACTCCCTCTGACAATGCGTCCATCTGCTGCCTCATAGAGATCAAAGTATTCCCCTAATACTGCACCTAAAAATGAAATATCAGGTTTGAATAATTAGAAAGGCCTTTTTAATATTGTTGAAATACAATAAGTATAAGCACCTGAATATGGCTTAAAGCAAAACTCCGTACAAATTGAATGTTAACCCTTGCAGTGGGGCTACCCACATTTTGTCTAGGAAACTAAAATAACAAAGTTATACTCACTCGAACCACAATCCCAGCTTGCTGTTAGACCGGTCCAGGATATAACTTTGTCATTTTAGCTCCCTAGACAAAATGAGGACTTAACCCTTGCAGGACGTGATGACTCACATGTGGGTAGCCCCACTGCAAGTTAAGATTTAATTTGCCTGGAGTTCTGCTCTAAAGTGTTATGTTACTATTGGCCCTTGAGGAGATCAGATGAGGTTTTGGTTTATGTTTAGTTTGTCCTTTACATATTATACATACATTGTAAATGAACTATAAAGTATTAATATCAACATGCAAGAATGACATTCACTTACAGAATCTTTCACCCACTGCACATACTGTATAAAATAGCTGATGACGGTGTCCATAAACTTTTTAGATTCCTAAGATAAAAAAAGAAAGAGAGTCTTTAAATAAATCCGTGCTTGTATGCCTGGTTTATAATTAATGGATGTCGGGAGTGATTAGTAAGCTGGCTATATGTGCAATCTCTTCTCAGTCTCCTTTAGATCTATCAAAGCTTTGTAGTTGTTGTGTAACCAGACAATCCCCTCAGTTTGTATCTAGACAGGTAAACCCTCCTACTACATAACTGTCAGTAGATCTAAAGAACATTGTTTAATGAAATTGCAACATGTATGGCTAGTAAGGCTGATAAGGTTTCTCTACATCAGACAAGAATGATTATAGACCTAGGCTGGTTCAGTATTAGTGAGGTGGAAGGATTTTACATAGTGACATTATGGGGGATTGCTCTGTGTGCTCTTTATCATAATGGGCTCCAAGGAACGCTAATACGCTAATGCTTTAATTATAAATACAATGAGCGGAATTTATCAAAACTGGAGCATACAAAATCTGGAGCAGTTGCCCATGGCGACCAATCAGCTTTTCCTTCAGTTTGTTCAGTGAAGAGTTGAAAATGAAAGAGAGACGCTGATTGGTTGCCCTGCACAGCTGCTCCAGATTTTGTCTGCTCCAGTTTTGATAAATTCCCCTCAATGAGTTCAGAGTTAAAGCTGAACTTCATGCTCAAAACACTTTCATTGAAATATATTCCTTAAAAGCCATAAAGGATACAAATGTATTTGTGAGCACCAAGTGCTTTTGCACACCTAGCTATTACCATATAACAGTAGCAGTGACATTATCACTGGGCTGTACATAGCCTGTGCACAGAGTAGAGCTGTGGGAGGGATGAAAAAGGCTCCACCCACTGAAGGCTGTCTGCAGAAAAATACAGGAGGGGGTGGAGACAAGACCAGTCACCCTGTACAAGGAGAGGGAGCAGCAGTGACTGGTCTTTATTACAGGAAACTCCTGCACAGAGGCAATGTTTCACACTGGATTACTGCACAGATCTGGAACAAAAACACACCAAGATTCAAGTAAGCATAGATACGGCTCTTGTACTTATAGAATTTGCTTATCCCAGAGTTTAGCATAAATCTCTTCTCTGAAGAAAAGCTATTCACTAAGTAAACTGAACTTGGTGGTAGAAGACATGTAGTAGGACATAGGGTTTGCACACAGTTCTGGATGCAGTTAAAATATTAATTATTTATTCAAGGCATAAAACCAGACAAAGCAGTCCCACTAACGCGTTTCAGCCAAAGGAACCCCTAATCATAGCTGCCGTACAATAAAACCAAACCATAGCTGGCAGCTATGATTAAGGCCTATTTTGGCTGAAACACAACACTGGACAAAGCTGACATATGTCAGCTTAAGTTGGAACTGCCCTCCAGTGACAAGCTGGGTCACAATGCCCTAGTGATGTCCTCACAGTTCCACAGATTACACTAAATAAATGAAAAATGTTACCTGTTTTATAATTGTAGATGCATTATTGTTGATCAGGTTTTGAGCTGCATCAATGGATGAGATGACATCAAGTACCTTTCCCTGGAATAAATAAAAAATAATCAATACACATACAGCCGGGCATGGAGTGATGTAAAAGATACGGTCTTATCAGTCTTAAATTGCTGCACATTTATGCACTCATAAAGGAAACATTTTATACATTTTTTTACACATATAAAAACTACCTGTCACTTCTGCATTAAACAAGATTCCGAAAAGACAGCGTACGTAGACATGATTTACACGGGTCGTTTTGTATCATTCATCATTTGCTCTAAGGTGAAAAACTTGGCAGATCTTCATTTTTAATCACAGTGATGGTAAACTGAAATAAAATCCCCTGCATGTTCAGGTTTAAAATGAGTATGTGTCAAATGATGTGTGTATTTTTTCTTTTATGTTCTGCCAACAAGTCTTGTCAGGGTAGACAGCCAGTGTTTAACAAGCAGCTCCAGACACAAATAAAATCAATCAGTTAATTGCTAAGGCTCCATGTAAAAGGGCATCAGGCTCACAGAGTCTGATATGTGTTACAGCTGTCACATATATAGACATGTACAGTACTGTACTGTAAATCACACATATATATTCCATTGGCAGAGCAGTAAAAGTCCCATTCGTCTCTATTGGCAATGCCTGTTCAAAAAAAGTCATACGCTCTAATATTTTATTGGACCGTCTTTAGCTTTTATTACAGCATGCATTTGCCGTGGCACCATTTTTATAAGGTTATGCAATGTCACAACATTTATTTCCATCCAGAGTTGCATTAAATGTTCACCAAGATCTTGTAGTGATGATGGGGGAGTCAGACCACTGTGTAAAGTCTTCTCCAGCACACCCGGAAGATTCTCCATGGGGTTAAGGTCTGGACTCTGTGGTGGCCAACCATGTGTGGAAATGAAGTCTCATGCTCCCTGAACCACTCTTTCACAATTTGAGCCCAATTAGTCCTGGCATTGATATTTTGGAAAATATGCCCGTGTAATCAGGGAAGAAAAAATCCATTGATGGAAAATCCTGGATCCATTCAGTATATTCAGGTGGGCAGCTGAACTTATTTTTTGGACACATAACGTTTCTGATCCTAGACCTATCACCCAATGGAAGGCCTGGCAGTGTGTATATTTATTTCTTAGGTATGCACCAAAATGGTTTTGTCAGGCCAAAACCTAAAGTGAAACGTACATGTTTGTTTCCAACCTTTTAACATTTTTTAATTCTTTTATGTTTATTTCTTTTTCTTTTTTCATTTACTTTACTGTCAGGGCTCAGGGGAATTATCAGGGGTCTAAACAGCAGCATGCAGTATATCCCGAAGAGGTGAACAGTGGGGAACAGAAGATAGTCTTCTCCCGACCCCCACACATGCGGCTCATCCCAACAGCTGGTACATCATGGAAAAAAGACAGGACGGACCTTTTAATGCTACAAGGATTTTGGGGAAATGCTTGATTCCTTGTGAGAATAGGCACACGGTATATAAACAGTATTAATGCTTATTTTTAAATCTGCTTAGTTCAGGGTTATGGCATGGTGTTTTCAGGACAGAAAAGATGATTTTTATATAATAGTGAACTAACCCTTTAAATCTACCTATACAGAGAGGCAGATGAGGGCTCACCTACTGCCTAGTTGACTTTTCAAAAAGTCAAAATTTGTATATCAGCAAATTTTTGGGGGCCTGTGTCGACAGGCTTTGATATCAATATGCAATACTTCTGAGATCATTCAGAATCAATCGATGAGTGCATTTAACCTGCAGTTGACTTCCTCTGGACCTGCATTTGACCTGCTTCATGTGTTTTTTGGATTCACCTAGACTTGTATGGGAACTGAAAACCCATATAAAAAGAACAAAAACCCCTCGACTCTGGCCCTTAGACTACTTAGGCTGCAGGTATTGGGTTAGAAGGGGTGCTTTTGCAATAACTTACATCTAGCTCCCTCAAAGTCAAATGTAATTCGTTGTCATGAGCTACATTAATTTATGTCTTCATTGCTCTTTCTACTGCCTTAAATAAGCCCCAGTAAGTGTAACAATATCATTATAGTTTTATCAATGCAGACTGCAGATAAGAGCAAAACTAACCACCAACACATGGTTGGGTAAATTTGTTCACCGCAGAAATGTTTTGCAGAAGAATTAGTGATAATTGGGCTTATTCGGTAAACAATGCAAGGAGCAAACGTATACAAATGGCTGCTAAGCTGACTAGTGTGGCTGGTACAACTAAAGAAATAAAAGGGCCACCAGTACAATAGAATTATATAACATGTCACACTTCTGTTCAAATGCATTATAAAAAAAATACATGTTTATGATAACAGCTGCTGGTGGCATACCTCAATATCAAATGATGTCCTCTCTAACAGCTTAATGCTTTGAGTCAAAGAACTCTGAAATATAAAAAATTGCAACAATGTAACACGTTTTGGATCATTTTTTACACCGATACACATTTATGTAAACATATAGGTCACAAAAAAAGCTCATGTACTAAAAGAATATGTATAAACATTTAAAAATGATTTTGCTAACTTGATAAATTAGTTTGAAGTATCATAATGGTGATATACCAACCCACGGTTAACAATTGCTTCAAATGAACTCAGTCTGCCTACTGACTACCTTCCCTAAATGTTTGCTGCCTGATTGTGAAAGGCAGGCTGTAATATTTTTATTTCCAGGATGATAGGATTAGTGTTAAAGGAGAACTATGACCTGAGTGATTTCCACTCATCCTCATAGTTATAGCCGATGTGTGACAAAGAAGCTGTCACAGGTTGGCTCTGTCAATCGTGAAGTGAGCAGAAACATGCACCGACCTGCTCACTTCCCGATCGTCTCCCTGCAGGGAGCACCGCTCCCCGCAGGGATTCCCCCTCCCCGATCCTCCAGCGCTGAGTGGAGGACCGGACGGAGGAGGGGGCGGGCAGAGCCAGCTGTCACTCACGCAGCTAGGTGGATCTCGACAGTAATGTCGGGGTCCGTCCCGGTTTCGGCACTCACAGTATGCCCGTGATATACTGAGCTTTGGGTCACGGGAGGACTCTAGTATATGTCCTTCTGTGACCCTAAAGAGAACTATGGAGAACAACACTTACCCCATAGTTCTCTTTTAAGGGTAATATCTGGCCCTGTTATGATCCCTTTATATAAGGCAGGGGTAAGCAACTCTGGTCTCAAGCTGTGGTGAAACTATGAATCCCATCATTCATCTGCCTCTGGGAGTAATGATTGTCTTTGAATAGTGTTGGAATGTCTACTCTACAGGATTTGTAGTTGCACCATAGCTGGAGGTCCGGAGTTTGCATATCCCTGGTATAGGATACAGGCAAAGAGGTTCAGTTGTCAAAGTTTGACATGAGATGCTCAATGAACGATAAACATTGAATAAGCAACTTTTCCAGAGATCACTTTGCCATGTTAACAAGCTAACAGCTTGCAGTTAGATCTTGAAGTGTTCCTGTAATTTAGACAGAGGTCATTCATAGAGATTAGTAGTAGTTTAACTGTAGGTCATCCATTGAATTACAATAGTGGAGAAAGGGAAAAGAAGTGATCTGACTTAGGAATAGCACCAAACTTTCGAATCAGCACTAAAACTACAGTTCAGACCACATACAAATATAGTGAGTGATCATGCTGCTTACCCTAGCTTTAACATATTTCTTGAAAGGCAGGAAGGAGGAATAAGAAAGAGATGTCAGATACAAAAAAAAAAAAGCAAAAAGCAAAATACAGAGTACCTAGAATAGCCCAGAGCTATTCATATCAAAATTGAACATACAAGCTTGTCTGATCATATTACAGCCCTAAAACTAAACGAAGGCATTTCCTTCATAAAGGCAATAATACATTTCCTAGTGGGTGCATTGAACCACTGTGTGGGGATTGAATGACAATACCTCATTCATGATGGAATCCATCCACCCAGAGGGGAATTGGACTGTGTGAACAGAGACTTATACAACACTTAGAATGTTATTATATTGTGTATGCTTCATCGACCACACCTGTAATCTTTGAGGATGTTAGAGTGGTCATACCTCTACTGTGTGAAAGATTTGTCCATGCATTTTGTGATGACTGTAGACCAACCAAAACTTGGCTGGCAGCACCATGCCAAGTAACAAATAACAGTCCATGCATGATCACTGCAATGTCAAGTTCCATTGAAAATGAACAGGTTGCTTGCCAAAGCAGCCGATCAGAAGTTTTTTCAAATGACAAAAAATACATAACCTCAGTATACCAATTGCACCAATGGTAAGGGGGGGCTTTCCATATCGTACCAATTGTAGGAAACTATTACTCCTATTGACACCAATGATGTGTCAGTTAGATGAATAGTGCCCCATCATTGGTGTCAGTGAGATGAATAGTGCTCTCAATGATGAAGCACTATTTCTCCCACCTTTTTCCACTGGCACAAACTATGGGGAATCTACTATTTCCACTGACACCAATGATGAAACAATATTCTTCCTACTTACACCAACTACGGATGAACTGCTCCTCCCACTAACACAAAAAATGGCCCACTATTCCTCCCAATGACCACCCACATTCCTCCCGCTGACACCAACCACGGGCCACTATTCTGCCCACTGACACCAATGAAGGGGGGGAACTATTCCTCCCATTCAAAATTCGATATGTCACATCGCACTCCTGAGCGGAAAATCCCAATGAAAACAGGGTGAGTGCAGCAGCGACAGCAGATGCCTCTGCAAATCTCATAGAACGTTCTATTCCTCCATGTGATGGGACAGGGACACCTTTTCTCCCACTGACACCAACAATGTGGCACTATTCCTTTCCACTGACAACGACCATATGGTACTATTCCCACTGGCACAAAGGATGGGGGGAACTATTCCTTCCACTGAGACCAATCATGGAGGAACTATTGCTCCCATTGACACTTATAATGGAGGAAATGTTCCTCCCGCTGCCACCAATGATGGGGTACTACTACAGCATGACAATAAATAATCTTAAATCAAGTAATCCCAGAGAGGCAAGGCCACACTACTCTTTGTAGAGATTCATATTAAGAGATAAAAAACTGATCACAATGAAAGAATATCTTTACAAACATGAAACCTGAAAAAAACATATTAGCATTAGCAGAAGTATTAGATATGATGCCATTTAAGAGTAAGGTCTCTAGATGGAGATAGATAGATAGATAGATAGATAGATAGATAGATAGATAGATAGATAGATAGATAGATAGATAGATAAATAGATGTAAGGGGCCACAATTTTGATGCATACTGAAACCCGAGTTTCTCAACCTGTGCAACTATTTTACTTGGGCAAACAGACGCCACCCCACAATATTCAAAAGTATGTTCAAATCCATCCTGAACATCCAATTGCACACGCATGATCTCCATAATCCTTACAAATTATGAAAAATTCCAAGTACATTGTAAACATTTGCTATTATATTGAAGGCCAATAAAACAAGGTTGAGAAACGCGGTGGTAAATATTAGATATAGAACATGTATGTAGCTATCTACATTTAGTAGACAAACCCATAATCTATACGCTTTTACCATTGTTTGCTCCATCGGTACAATCTGCTGAATATGTATCATCCGTATACTATTAGCGTGTCCTTTTAAAGCATTTCCTAACGCTCCTTTTGGCTAAAAAATAACAGAGACACAGTTCTGAGACAAAAGACATTTAGTTATTTCTAGCAAGCATGACAAAATGGGGAAGATATGTTAATTTGATGTTTTTATGCATTCGTTATTTTCACAAATGACATTTAAAATGAATGGCAGGAACTGATAAAATGTTATAAAACAAATTATTGTAGTTGCAATGTAAAGCAAACCTTTATCTATTAACATAAAATACAGTTTTTCTTCTCTGAATACAGTGAGGTTAGAGAAAGGTTGGAACCTTTCAGGTTTTTTTGGAGATATCTCCTCACTTACTGTCTCATTGACAGCTGTTGCAGTGTTGTGAGTTGAAATTTCTAATTTCTTCCTCTGGGGTCCATTCTTTATAAATTCTTTTGGAGTATTATCCATAGCAGTATATGGAGATTTTACTCCATGGAGAAGATTCAGGGAATTCAACTAATATTTGTTAAGGCATCCAGACAGGAAGTAGAGAGCGATCCCTCCAATGTGGACAGTGATAAAAACCCAACACAGAATATAACACAGAAAATACACTTTAAATACAAGTACAGGACATTTCTAACCTCTAAAGGGCCAGTCCACCTGTTACTAGATCACTGAATCACATATTGCTATTCCTAGCGCTCTGTTAGTATCTTGACAGCTCCACCCTCCCATCACATATATTAGCAGAGTAGTTACATAGTTGTTAAAGTGACATTAAACCCTCAGATTTTTTAACATAAACCAATACTGTAATGTGTGCCTTACTGTAATCCATGGTTGTTTCCCTTCTCTTTGCTGCTCTTCCTTTTAAATCCTCATGTCTTCTCATGCTCTGCAGAACTTCCATTTGAAGCTCAGGGCCTCTTCCTGTAGTGCTGGCTCAGGTTACAAGCCTATAGAAACTAATACACAGACACCGTATATCCATTCCTGAGACAAGGCAGTCTGCTGCAAAACAGAAGTTCTGCAGAGTATGAGAACAGATACAGATTTAAAAGGAAGAGCAGCAAAGAGAAGGGAAACAACCATGGATTACAGTAAGGCGCACATTACAGTATTGTTTTATGTTAAAAAATCTGAGGGTTTAATGTCACTTTAAGGTTGAATAAAGACACAGGTCCATCAGTTGCTCTCTTTCTGTTGGATTCTCCTTGTGTGTTAAGTTACAGAGAATGATGTGCAAGGAACGAAACACTGTGTTGGGGGAAGAGCTCAAAAGACCTTGGCAGTACAGTTCTCAGGAGATACGAGAGTGGTACATCCCACCAGGTTTTACCCATAGCAAAAATCCCAGTTTTGTTGGAACTGATCCTTCTGGCTCCAATCACTCCCCAGCATCAGTGTTTTTAGGCTTTTTTCAGGCTTTGTAAAGTGGTTTTTAAGCATTTGTAATGTGTTTTTAGGTGCATTTAGCTTCAGGTGTATTTACAAAGAAGAGAAGAGCTGCTTATTTTGCAGAAAATGTACAACAAATGCAAAAAAAACCATTACTGTGTTGTGTGTTTACATGCATTCCTATTGAAGTCAATGGGGCTATAAATGCTGAACTCTGCTGATAAGTAGCTCATGTACTTTTTCTAGTGACCGGTGTTTGACTACAAGAGACAGAATGCTCAGATGTAAACAGGGGCCATTGAAAACAATGCAAATCCTAAGTTGTAGTGCTTGGCCCTTTCAGCTACAAAATGGAGGTGTGAACGGACCCTCAGAGCCAAGGTAGCTTAGTAAATACCTAAACGTTAACATTTCTGGCAGGTACAAAGAACATTTTTGATTTATGAAAGCATAAACCAAAATCAATTAAATTCTTTGAAGACAACATGGAACAAAGGTTAGAGCAATTTACTTATGTAGCCTGTGTGATGGAACACGTTGGATATTACATGTACAATAAAAAAGTGGCCAAGGTACCCCATGTGACTCCTTACAGTTACAAAGAAGAGAGTGCTTGAACCACAAAATTCACTGATTAGATATAGTAACCTTTCTGCTAAGTTAATGTGTCATATGATTGTTATAGGTAATGCTGAAGTAATTCTAGGTTTGGCCATGTTAAAGGAAACTTGTATTGAAAGAATAGAAAGGCTGCAATTGATGACCTCTTCTAATGAAAACCGTAGCTTTCCTGGCTGACATGCTAATCCAATGGCTCTAGTACCTTTCCTGAGTCAGTGATTCAATAATTAGTGAAGAAAGTGAAATGAAGAAATGAAAACATATAAACTCCCGGAGCTTGCCATTTAAAACATGTAGGTAATATTTTTCTGTTTCTGTCCAAATCGGTTCTCTCTTTAAAGGTATAACTGATGAGCAGGTGATGTATATAACCCAAAGTGTGCCCAAACCTTTGGCTGTTTGTAACATGCTTTAACCTAGGTTATTACTACCATAGGCAAGGGGAGAATGGCTTTCATGCCAAGCAGGAAGGGGCAGGGTAAGCTTGGATAGCATAAAAAGGGTACAACTTGCCAATTCTATTTCTTTAATGTAGACACCATCATTAATAAAATATAAAACAGACTACATCTGTATATCTCCCCCATTATAGTTAGAACAGGCGTACAATAAGACAACACAATATATAGTTGTTCTGAAACACCTAGAAAACCGATCTCTGTAAATCAGGAACATAATCTTCCTACACCAGAACAGTGGCATATGAAATCTTGGTGTAAGGACTGAGCTGCAAGCTACACAACTGTGAAGCAGGCCATAGATAGTAGCAGGATGTGCCTTCAGAGAATAGTGTATAGACAAGCACAAGCATATACAGAGAATGAGCATGTCAGTATTATGGAGGAAGAATAACCATCTTTATCAGCAAGAAGTGTATGCAGAATTGGAGTTCTTAGGTTCTCAGACATGTTGCCCAATCCTGTCATGATCTTCAGAGTTCTATGATGATCACTTAAAAACCCAGTTATAACATTGCCATACTGCTCCTTTAAAAAATACATTACATTTGTAAAGTACAGTGATGTGACTAACAAATGTGCTTAGTGCATTGGTTGCTTAGGGATTCCAAAAAAAGCAAAGCACCTTGAATTTCAATGTGTAGGGAAAAAAAACAAAAGGCGGGAGGAGACGAGCCCAGTCACATGATCTGCCAAAGTCATGTGACTGTCCTCTACACTAATCACAGAGATTTCCCTTTAGTGTTACTCAGACAACATTCCGTATTATTTATTAACATGGCCAAGCCAACGCAAACTCACCAACATGTCAGCATCTGCTTCCAAATCATTGGCAAATGCCAAGAGATCAGCTTTTGTACTGCTTTTTCCCACCTGTGAAATAAAAAGGAATATGGGTATTGGGTAATGTACATATTTAGCAATGTTGAAAAAAGACAGCATTTTATTGCATATAATCTGATCTTATGGAAAGGTTCCTATTTCCCAGTGGGTGCCTAAAGAATGGTACATCTTTTCAAAAACGTATGCAATATACAACTTCCTTTTGAAGAAAATAGGGAAGATTGGGTCCCTCCAGGTTTTACTGCTCTCTGTGTTCCCATGAGGAAGATTTGTTCCCTCATTTCCTGTCCCAGTGATACAGCAGGCCGGGAGGTGAAATCTCCGCAAATGAAAATCCAAAGAGTGATAAATCTGGAAGGGTTCAAATAGTTCTGCGCTAGTATGAATGATGAGATTTATCCCCTGCACCCAACACAGCTCTATGATATGAAATGTGGAAATATGTTTAAACCTGCATACATACTTCTATCAGAAATGCATCAAAATCTATGCCATCAATTCCGGTGGAACTGAATTCCATTAAGTTCTGTTTTCCTTTATCATCAAGCAACACAATGCTGTTCAGATTAATGTTCATTGCGTCAATCCGTTCTGATATTTCATCTACATACTGAAACAAAAATATAAAGAAACAATGAAATACTGGTTACAATATTCTTAGAAGGACAAAGTCTATGGATGCCCAACACTGTTATTTTATTTCAAGCAACCAAACACACATCAGGTGAAAACTGAATAAGAATCGTTTTCATCATGGAACTGAGGTGGTTTGAGATGTTTTCCACTAATTATTACCCCATTTTTTTTAATCATTTGGTCACAGGAAGCTAGGAAATCTTTTGGGCTGAAATCTGATTAAAAGCCCCTGGTTTGCCTTTTGAAGTCCAGCAGAACATGAACCTGTAGAGGTGACTGCATAATGGAGTATTTGTAGCTGAACACAAAATGTATACAGTGGTGATGTATTTTAAATTGAAAATAAAAAGTTAAAACTCACAATGGATGTAAGAAACCACTGATATCAATCTTGTGTTGAATCTATATATCCACAAATACTCTAACATCAGAAGTGTGCAGCATGTAGGAACAAAAACCTCAAAAGGCTCAAAAGGCTTGAAAAACACATTTTAAGGCTTCTTAAAGACTTTTTGATATAAGGGGTAATGTATAGATTAGGTTCCCCTCTTCTCTCGCCCCGGACATGGGTGATACAGTGATTGATTAACTGTATGTCCTGTGATTTCTGAGGCACCTTTGGCGCCGATCTATAGAAGGAGATTTTGTTATTGCCATTTTCCATGTAATTTTTCAATCAATAACTAAGCTAAGGATTGTCATACATTGATTGCACATTTCAGATCTCAAATGTTGGCACAACACAGCGGTTCAGTGTTAAGCTAAGGTTTAAGCTAAAGTCCTTGAATAAATTCTTATAAGTCTGTATGTTCTCCTCTTGTTTGCCAGGGTTTCTTCCCACAAGCAGAAGAAAGAAACATAGAGGATGGCACTGTTGACTTCTACTTCTGAAAATGCTATTTCTGGACTGTCAAGCTGACCACTGGCTTTAGTACTTTCTGGGTCGTGCAGATCAGAAATAAGCACATTCAGATAGGCATCAGCAATGGCAACCTTTGTATTTCTCTCAGCACAGTTGTCCTTTGAATGGCATCTACCCAAATTAGTCCTGGGGGTGTATCAGACTGTAAACTCTTCCAGGGAAGGGACTTATGCCAATACATGAATGGTCTCTGCGGAGTGTTGCTCCGCATGCCATGATACACGAGTAAAATGAAATAATTATTGAGCTTCCTAATCATTGTATGTCGTGTGGATCCCACTCCTTGGTAATACCATTTAGCAAAACAATTATTCTTACCATGCTGATGTTGAGGAATTCATTGAGATTAAAAAGGTTATCAAACTGAAGTGCAGTAAAAATGCCTTTGTTGTCCTTGCAGTCACTAGAAAAACAAAAACAGATAGACCATGACATAACAGATGATACTGCTCTCTTCTATTACTCATAACTGGTTTCCACCAGTCAGTGGTTAATTTTCTTATCACCACCCCACTTTAGTTCAACACACTCCTTAAATGATGTGCTCCCTTTTGCCTGCCCTGATTCTCTTTTCTAGTTCATGTGCTGGCGTATGCCAAAACTGTCACAGTTGATCAGTATCTGGTCAAAGATTACATAAATAGCATTGAAAATAAGAGCTTAAAGGAAACCTGTACTGAGAGTTGCAGACCTCTTTCTAAAATTGCTATTTGCCTGGCTGTCTCTGCCTGCAATAGTCGCTGACCTGGAACAATTATGCTGATTATAATGTTATAGCAAAATAAGAACTGATTTGCTTGTTCCAGGTTTCTTTCTCAAAGAGTATTAATTAAAGCCATTGGATCAGTATGACATCCAGGCATCTGGAATTTTCAGAAGGAGAGGTCTGCAAGGATGGCCTTTGTATTATTTCAGTACAGGCTTCTTTTGGGAGCATTTGTTAAGCTCACCACACATGTGTGGAATCTCCTTTAGATTTACCAGCATGTATGTAGTGCCTGGGCCTCCCTGACTGGATACAAATTGATTGGAAAGTTTAGGTCGGTCCTCATATTACTTAGTGTTGGCAGACCTAAAGATGAGCGTACAGGTATTGTACAGTCAGATTGTAATGTGTATGAGAGTCCTATACAGGTGCCTGAGTAATGTGTGTGCAGGGTGGCCTGACAGTTTCTGGTTAGGCATGAGCTCAAGTTCGGACCAAAGCTTACATGGTCCTCCAGCCCAATCAGCTGCGGTTGGGGCCAGGGGCATCTCTACCATGAGGCAAACTAAGCGTTTGCCTTGGGTGGCACTTTTCATTAGGCAGCAAAAAACTCAGCCCCCAAACCATTGATGCAGACAGGGCCGGACTGGCGTTCAGGCAAATGAGGCGACCGTGAGGCTTGCCTGGTGAAGGGGGGGCATTAGGTTAGTCGAGGTCCACCCTGAACTCCAGTGCTATTTGCTGTTTTGGGAGAGCTGACAGGAAGTGGGTACCTGCGGACTTCCTGCAGCTATTGCCCTGGGAATGGCCTTGGAGGGGCTGTCAGCATACATGTATAAGGCGGCGGAGGGCTGGGTGCTGACCTTGCCCGTCCTGCTGTTCAACCCGGATGGAGTTGGAGGTTTGGACGTTGCTCGGCTCAGTAACCCAGCATGGTGGGCAGTGCTCTACTCCGCTCATCATTGTCGCCTGCAATGGGCACAGCAAGGTGGTGTGATTGCTGCTGGAGCACTAACAAGTGGAAACCCAGCAGACTGGCACCATGTGCTTCAATGGGTAAGAGGGAGGAGGGGGTGCTGGGGACCCGGATATGGGGGATACACAGGAGCCTGCAGATGGGTGATGGATCTAACCAGAGCAGCACATGTGTGCAGGGAAAGGGACCTTGCACAGTTCACCATAGACCCCTCACAGATCATCATAGACCCCACAGAGTAATGGTGAGACCCCGCACGCCCTGGTGAGCAACACAGAATATGTAGCTTCATATTGTTCTGCATTGTTGGTATTTGCAGTCCTCTATACCTGATTCTGCATTGCTCCATAATGTATTGCTGAGATTTGTAGTCCCTTAGTGTCAGTCGCAGAACTACCAGGGGTGCATTTACCTAATATAGCCATGTAGCCATTTAAGGTCAATTATATTATTGCACCCCACCCCTTTGTTTACGTCCAGCTGCAGGCGATGAATGCCAGCTGGCAGCTGATTGGCCAGCATGGAAAGAACTTCCTTTTTTGTTCATGAGGAGTTCCTTCGAGGTTTGGAGGAGTTCAGGTTTGGACCAGGTTCGGTCCGAACCTATGTTCATCCCTATTTCTGGCATGCTATTATTTTTTTTGTAATCTCGCTACTCCTAAAACTGTCTATAGACACAAAACAGGCCAGACTTGTAAATTATCTTAGGTACAAAAGATTTTTCTATAACAACCTTCTCAGCCAAAAGTATTGTACCATACGTATATATACACAGAAATACATAAATTTGGTGTCAGGCAAGATAAAACCGACATGTTTACGTTAGAAGAAATGCATCTTATATAAAACCATTATATTATCTTACTGTATATCCAAAGTCAGTTTTTCTTTGCTTGTAAAAGGTTTTGCTCACTTCCTATTGTGTTTACAGGACTAGATATAGAGTAATCTCACAAATCGGGCACAGATGGCAAAAGGTTATGGTGAGGAGGGTCTAAAACAATGAAAGAGCCCTTAATAGACATGTGCACGGAATAAAAATTTGTTTCTGACAAAATAAATGAAATAATTTAGGACTGAAAAATAACCTAGTAATATGACTCATTCATCCGATGAAAAGTCAGCCAAATTACATTTTCATATGAACAACCTTCTGAGACAAATGAATATCTGACTCCAAATTCCATGTTTCTTCAGGCCACAAACGTATGTATATGGGTCTACTCAGAAACCATGATTGATTCCTACCTGTACACTTTTTCAAACGTAAGATTGATATTGGCATTTTGGTAGAGGACTCCAGACAAGTAATTTTTCCACTGTGAGTTCAGCAGATAAGGAGTATCCAGAACCTGTGGAATAAACAGAATAATGATCAGTAGATCAGACATAAATGCCTATCATCACACATACCACGGAAATACTAGCAATGGGAAAATAATTCTGTGATATATAAATGTTAAATAACTTAAAATGCATATAAAACCAAAACCCTTTTTTTTTAATTGGAAATGGTTAAAACCCTTAACAAGTTATTTCTTGCTATCTTTGCCCTGGAGGTGCAACAGGAAATGTGAAGAAATCTCACTAATGTGAATGGAATAGCCATGTCAGAGAGTTGCCACAGAACAAGTGTTCCCATTGGAGGATGTCCCTTACCTTTTGTTCTGGTGACCATTTAAAATTTTTGGCTTTCCCCTCAATTTCTTTTCTCAGTGACAATGGCCACCAGTACAAGTAGCGAGATGGATCTCCCCAATGGGCACAGAGATAACTGTAGAAATTTGACAAAGGGTCAACCTTTCCTCACTCTATCCAATACTGCACCTTAATACCTTAATCTTTCTGTTTCATATCAGAGAATTACTTTATGACAGAACAGCACAATATCTGAACATTTGGTCAAAACAGATTCCCCTTTAATTGGTAATATTGCCTGTATGTGGTCATCATCTATCCAAACAAAGCTGGTTATTGATGAAACAAAAAGCAAGCATGTATGACTGATCTGTAATCACTAGACCATCTGGTCAGCGAATGTATATAACTTTTTTCTGCACATAAAAAGGCAATTGGCATTATTTCTGTCCTGATCAGGGACACTGTAAAGATGAACTTGGTCAGTTTTCTCTTTTAAGTGTATTTCCACTTTTTCAGCCAAATTGAGATACAGCCGACTTTATATTGTTATATGTTCCTAGTCACATAGCATAACCTAAAATAATGCTGCTTCCCTTTTCACTTCCTTCAAAATCCTACTTAGCTTTTGTAATGGTAAGGAACGGGCTGTGGAGTTATGTTTACCATCATTAACCCTGCCTGTAATGTGGTGGCAGATTTCATTATCCATTGTAAACTAGATTTGAACACTGTCTGCCCTAACAAAGGGTTAAAAATCTCAAGGCTTGGATGGTAGGTCCGTTGAAGGGAATTTTTCAAAACTGGAGCAGACAAAATCTGGAGCAGCTGTACATGGCAACCAATCAGCTTCTCTCTTTCAGTTTCAAATCCTAACTGAACAAACTGAAGAGAGAACCTGATTGGTTGCCATGCACAGCTGCTCCAGTTTTGATCAATCCCCCACCCCATTGTATGTTAGTGCACTTTCCATCACTTTGTCCCTCGGATTTTCATTCTAATTGCCCTTTGAAATTGTCCAGAATAGCTTGCATGTATAAACCTGATCCAAAGAAACAACTAGGAAGGTAAGAATTTTTTACAATTATTCTTAGGTATGCTGGGAACACATATCAAAACATACTGTATAGTGCACAGTATCACATGTGGCTGCAAAAGTAGGAAGACACTTAAAGCATTACTATTTCTAAGATGCTTTCACATCAATAGTTCACATCTAAGAAGCATATCATTTTTTTTCTATGTTTAATGTTTCTGTATGAATATAAATAGACTACACGGCTACCATCAAATTAGAACCACCCTCACTAAGCACTATAGATATTTCAAAACCTCTACAAGCATAATGCAACACCAAATACTATTTACAAAGCTGATTATCTATGTCCCTGCCAAATAATATCACATTTGTTATGGAGTTGTACTTTCATTTAATATTTCATTAGCTGTAGCATTAAAAATAACAAAGATATTTTTATTTTTATTTGGTCAATTCACAACTGCATACACAGTGTTCAGTTGTCCTCAGGGGCAGTATTGTGACAGATGACAAGTAAAACCAGCCCAGTGATAGAGTGCACCATGAAGTCATTTTAATGTACGGGCAGCTTAGGAGAGTGTTGTTTTGTTTCAATCTATCCTTAGAATATTTACAAAGTAGAACTAACTTTCTAAATGGTTATGGAATCATTCGGTAAGGCTCATATTTAAAATATTTCTGTAATTCCTTATTCCAAGTTATGCTATTGCATCTGAGTTGTTAGGGGTGTGGAGGCAAGCAGGTATTCATAAGATACATTTCTGCATTTCTTAGCTGCACAGCAATATGAAATTCTTGGTCTTTCAGCCTAAGGCAGCTGTCTGAATAGATCATTTCTTCTCTTGGAATGCACTAACACTGAACATTAAAGGCACACCACAAGAAACGTGGCTTCTAAAACCTTCTCTGCACCACTCTTTTTGTATCTGGCATATTCTCCAATAGTACAGGAAAGTAGGGTTGGTATATAATGAAAGTGAGGATATTTTTTTTTTCTTTTGCAGTGCCTTTTGTTATAATTGGCTTGAGGTTCAGATCAGCTATTATTCTGCAGAATCTAATTTTATAACTATAGGATGTCTAAAATGATGATGCAATTCGTAACTTTTGGCCTGGCTGGGGCAGACCAATATCACCCCACAATGATTATGAATGGTCCACATGCCTGAGTGGATGCAATGGCAACAAATAGATGTCGATGTATACAGACCACATGAACTTTAAGGGCTCCCATTGCTCCAATGTATCTTTTAAGACCAGACAGGAGCTCTTTCTCAATACCCATCAGCCAACTATCTGGTGAAAAATTATAGTGTACATTCCAGGAAGCCTAATGGAAAAAGAAGGTTTCTGGTCATGAAATAGTCAAGTCAGGGATGGATTAAGGGCAACTAATGCCCTAAGCACAGCCTAACAATAATATCCCCCTCTACCCCTTCTTTACCTAACAGAAAAAAACATTAAGACTCAGAAAATACTGAAAGGGAAATACAAGTTTGAACATTTATAAACCTTCTTCAGTTTTCTTCCAGCCCCAGGCCAGACACCACAACTGTATTAAATACAAACTTTTTTTATGTTTTATTTATTTATTTAACAGATTGGACATAGATCAAAATCAAGCAACTGGCTAAGTTATTGGCATTTTATTTATAAATAATGGGAAAAATCACTTATTTAATTAATGATAATTAAGAATAGGGTTGCACAGATACCAAGTACAGTACTCGGTACAAGTACGAGTACATGTACCGATACTTTTGAGCTTCAAGACTACACTAGAGAAAAATTTAAAAATTAGGGAGCAGCTGTCATTTGTAAGGAGCACACGGAGCTCCAGGGATATGTACATCTCTGTTTTAATGTATGATTTTGGTTTTATAAATATAAATAAAGGGATGCACAGATACCAGTTTTGCGAGTACGGGTACTGGTACTTGCCGAGTACTTACAAGTACGAGTACTGATACATTTTTGTTTATTGTCATGTGACAGTTTTCTAAAACAATACAGACTAATGATTTCAGGACAGTGGTGGAGCACCAGAGCCAGGTCCCAGCTGCAACCTCTGCAACCCTGGTGGTTCTCATGAAAATGCCAAGTATCTGCACTGGTACTCGAAAAGTATCTGTGCATCCCTAATTAAGGATGAAGAAGTCTATGGGGCTCGTTTACCTTCATATTTGAAGGAGAGATGATGGGACTGTAATGTGCCTATGTGACCAAGAGTGAGAAGACTTGCAGTGTGGGATGCAAATAAACAATGGAGGCAGTAGCAGTGGGATCTTGATAAGTATGGAGAGGGATGGTGGGATCATTAAGCTCGGGGCAAAAAGGAAACGTGCATTTTGTTTAAACGTGCACTGATCCTTTAAGGGCATGATAGCTTGGGAATAAAAACTCAGTGGTGCCTCTTTCCCTTGGTACCCTAAGCATGTGCTACTTTTGTCTAATGGTTAATCCAACTCTGGGACAAGTGTATTGCCCTATACTGATCTCCTTAGTGGAAAAGGTGAAAAACTAATCTTGATAATCTGCTGAGGATTTGTAGTGCCAGTTCCTTAAATCTTAGTGTAAGTCATAGTGCTAATCTTCGATTGTTTAGTGGAAAAATCATTAGGGGTCCCGATATTCTAATGGAGAAAGAGAAAGAGACAGTCTAAAAGTGCAGTGAAATATGTATTGTGACAATCTTTAAAAGACTAGTATAAAAGCTCTGGAGCAATTTTATAGTGGCCAAGTAGTAAATCAGAGTCTGGTCAATGAGACTTATTTCTGCTCTTAGTCTACTGTTTTGCAGCTGGAAACTAAAAGTCTGAATGTGACGATTGGCTCTGAGTGTCCTATAGTAGCATACAATGTTTAACAAAGCCTGTCTACAGAAGCAGACAAGAAGTGCCCAACCTCTATTTCAGCCTAAAATAATATCCTGCAATCATTGTTGGGGTGTCCAGGTTAATAATTAGCTAACCATTTCTATTGGCTTTATAGAGAGGCCTTGAAACATAGGCACATGTCCTGCATGACTGGGTTTAAAGGAGTTTGGTAAATGGAGTGGTTAAACAGGTTGGAGGAAGTATATAAAATTCGTACATACCTGACTGGAAAAACAGAGAGACATCAGATGGGTCTGCAGGGATGGTCTGAGGGGAGGAGTCAAGCACTCCCCAGTAACAGACTAGCTGGCATTGGGTGTATTTCCCACCCACCAGGGTTTAAGGAAGTTTGGCAAATGGAGAGGTTAGCAGCGGGGCTGCATGGGTGGTCTGAGGGGAGGAGTCAAGCGGTCCTCAGCCAGAGGCTAGATGGCATTGGGTGAACTTCCCACCCATTTGCCCCATTTTCAAAGAATTTAGGTAGGCAGGGAATTGTTTGAGCCATAGCAGTTGGGGGTGTAGGTGCAAGGTCCTTGAAAGCAGTTTTTTGGGTCAAAATGTAAACTGTAAACTGTGTTAGGTAAGTCACCCATTTATTATGCTTGGTTAAGTGCTAGTGAACTGGTTGATTATTCCATGGGCTGTATCTGATGTTCATTTTGAAATCGTCTTACAGTTGGTGTACTGCGCTTGAGGACAGCCTTACGGGTTTACATATATATAGAGACTTTATGGAAAGTGTCTGCAAAGGACCCCATTTGAATTTTCTGTACATTGTTTTTTGTTATTTATACATTTTTGCTATTAAAAGAATGCCATAGCCATTAAACTACACTTTATGTTGTGTGCTGGCTATTTACTAGTAATTTGTTGGTGTATAGAAGTGATGGTCATGCAGTCCAGAAAACAGGTCATCTTTAATATCCTAGTCATGAATTTATGACCAACTGTATTACAGATAGTGATGCATCGATACCGATACTGGTATAGGTGCAGATACCGAGTATTTGGGCAAGTACTTGTACTCGCCCAAATGCTCCCAATTATATCCCGATACGGAACTTTCTGCATGAGGAAGCAGGGCGACAGCTTCCTGATTGGCTGAGCAGCCACCTCCATGCTCTCTGATGACGAGTGAGGATGGAGCCGGCCTCCCAGACAATCAAGAAGCCGGGGGGCGGGTAATGACTCACCCCCAGGTTTCTGATTGGTCGGAAAGCCGGCTCCATGCTACCTCGCCACCAATTAGGAAGCCGGGTGGCGAGTTATTAACCACCCCCCAGTTTCCTGATTAGTAGGGTTGCACTGATACCAAGTACAGTACTCGGTACAAGAATGAGTACATGTACCGATACTTTTGAGCTCCAAGACTACACTAGAGAAAAATTCAAAAATTAGGAGGCAGCTGTCATTTGTAAGGAGCACACGGAGCTCCTGGGATTTGTACATCTCTGTTTTAATGTACGATTTTGTTTTTATAAATATAAATAAAGGGATGCACAGATACCAGTTTTGCGAGTACGGGTACTGGTACTTGCCGAGTACTTACAAGTACGAGTACTGATACATTTTTGTTTATTGTCATGTGATAGTTTTTCTAAAACAATATTGACTAATGATTTCAGGACAGTGGTGGAGTACCAGAGCCAGGTCCCAGCTGCAACCGCTGCAACCCTGGTAGTTCTCATGAAAATGCCAAGTATCTGCACTGGTACTCGAAAAGTATCTGTGCATCCCTACTGATTAGCCATTCTAACCTCGTCACCTGGTGACATGGTAGCATGGAGTCGGCTTCCTGGCCAATCAGGAAGCCAGGCACCGGGTAATAACTTGCTGCCCAGCTTCCTGATTGGTTGGGAAGCTGGCCAACCAGGAAGGCAGGCGACGAGTCATTACCTGCTCACTCTGGCTTCCTGATTGGCCAGAAAGCCGACTCCATGTTCCCTCGTCACCTGGGGACAAGGGAGCATGGAGATGGCTTTCCGGCTAATCGGGAAGCCAGGTGGCGAGTCGTTACATGCCGCCCGACTTCCTTAATGGGACTTTCAGTATCATTATTCGGTATCCGCGAGTACCGGAAAAACAAATATCGGTGCTCATTCTTGATACCGAAAAACCGCTATTGGTGCATCCCTAGTTACAGACTAATGAAAACATTGGTAAATTTTAAAAGCCTGTGCAAGTATAGGTTAAATACAGAGCTGAGCATATCATATTTATCCGTAGAGGTTAGCATTACTCTATGCAGTAGAGGTTAACGTGACTTCATGCAGCAGATATTCTCAAATCTAACAAATGCTTGGTGGGTGTGCTTACAGGAGCACAAGGAACTTTACATATTAGGTTCAAAGCTGTGAGTAATCCATATACATGTTTTAGAGGAAATTCAAAAGTTATGGACTATTGGAGGATAGATCCAAGATCATGTGTAATAAATTATTGCATCAAGTATATTTAATAGCTCAGCTATTTTTGTAGTCTTGGATACAGTTGTGAGCAGTTACAACCTCTGTCAGGTTTTAACTGACGTCTGTGTCCCTGCTGGGCAGATTCCCCCTTTCCATCTGTCTTGGTGACCATTGTCACTGGAACTGAAAGAGAGGAAAATCCATAATTTTGAGTTCTCACCAGAACAGGAATAGAATGGAAATCTCCTAATAGAGACAACTGTTACAATGACAACTGTCTAAGATGACATTTTCCTCACTTTGAGAAAATGTCAAAGTCTGTACAGGAATAGAAACATATACAAACTTAGTTGTTTTTAGGACGTTATATTAGAGCTTTTAAAGCCCTTTATTTTTTCTTAGACAAGCCTACATGGTAACAGCCCCTTTAAAAATCCTATTTTTTAATTTTATTTTTTTTTATATAAATCAGAACAAAGCCTATGGTTCATGTATAAAAGCATATACGAGCATTGCTGGGTAGTACGAAAAATTCCAAGCTGGCTACTGGTGCCTGGAGCTCAGAGTACAAGTGTGTAATTGACAGTTTTAGGCTTACACACAGGTTGCAGCTTGACATGGTATGCACAACAACATAAGCTAAAAGGAGAGGTAAATGGGATTCCTGCCCTGAGCATCATATTTGTATGGATTATATGCCGACACGCAGAGTTCCCTATGTATCACTCATATCACATGTCAAAAAATGTTTTCTAATGCCCTGCTAATGATGGCTTTCTTCACATGAAGAACATAGTGAAGATCAAATACAATGTTCACAGATTTACTTTAACCTGTGTAGGGCCGGCGCATTCTTTTCATTTTTCATACACATGCTAAAATCTGATTTGTTTCTAATAGAAAGTTACTTTAAACCCCCAAACAGCTGCATTTTTTATGTTGCCTGATATTTACACAAGTGTTTATCAAATCAATATTTTTAGAAACAAATAAACTAAAATGAATTTTAGTGCACACAAACACAATATAATACCCAATGGGGGAATTTATAAAAACTGGAGCAGCCAAAATCTGGAGCAGCTGTGCATGGCAACCAATCAGCTTCTCTGTTTCATTTTCAAATCTTAACTGAACAAACTGAAGAGAGTTGCTGATTTGTTGCCATTGGCAACTGCCACAGTTTTAGTCTGCTCCAGTTTTTACAAATTCTCCTAAATGTGTTTAAAAAATATAAAGAATGGGGTGAAAAACTATAGTACTCAAAATTTTCCATAGGCAACGCTTGACAGGTGACAGGTTCCCTTTATGGAGACAACATCTATTATGTTGGTTATGCATTTAGATGAAGCACTGAGATCTTGAGGAATGCTGAATTAAGTTTTACTTGCAAAGTGTAGTACAAGAATATTCTTGCTTTTGTTTCATTCATTCTGTGGTCCCTCCACCTATCCTGCTGTCCTCCAAAGTCAAGATTATATTAATGAAAGTAATTCTCACCTTAAACAAAGTCTTGTCTTGGAATGGTTCACATACCAGCTTTTCAACATTTCCGCCAGCCAGGAATGTGATGGTTACAATGAGCATAAGGACCCAGGAGAAGATGAAGCTGAATACAACACCACTGTGTAACAATAAATAAAAAACTGTGATTAAAGACAAATAAGACTCCATAGGCTCAATTGACACCAGAATGTCTATACTTATTTTAAAAAAGTGACAGCTGAGTCCAATAAGATTATACAATTTCAGGCACAGGACTAAATCACAGAGTCTTATCCTTCTGTTAAAGTGACACTAAACTCAGGAGTTAGATCTTAAAAATACATTCAAGTATCTTAACTATTAACAAAAATGTATCTTATTCAGAATACAGCATTTGTAGAAAGGAAAAATATATATCATAGATATAGCATGGAGACTAACACTGCACTACAGTGCCATCTAGTGCTCAAAAGACAATATTGCTTCTCTGAATGTCAGAAATAGAAATCAGTGTATGCTGTTTTAGCTCTAACATATTAGACCCCAAACTCCCTCCACCCTTTCTCCATTGTATAAAATCAAACACAGGATTGTACTTGATCATCTGTTTATCAGGCTCTTCAACCGGGCTTCTGACAACTCTGAAGCAGGAACTGTCAAGAGCACAGCACTTCATGCTTTAGTGATCATAGAGCAGATCAGGAAATGGACTTTCCGTGGTCTACTCTCCATCCTGACAGCATTTGGTGTAGTCCTGGCCCCCCCAGAGGAGCAAAAGAGTCTGGAAAATGCAGCGGTTTGGTAATTTGGTGAGGCGGGGGAGGGTGAGCTATTAAAAAAATAGCTGTGCTCTTCCTGTGCCTATTCAAGTATCTTAACTATTAACAAAAATGTATCTTATTTGTGTATCAGAGTAACAAAATGGGATATAACAATCAATGGCATGGTAACAAGTAAACCATTGTAAAAAACATATAAGTGAGAACAAATAATGTACGTAGTAAAAACTATACTTATAAAGTCATATCGAGCACAAGATCACACCCATTATGCTTAACTCACCATCAGGGCCATAACAAAGAAAAAGGGCTCAGCGGCTTTCTTCGTCACTGAAAATGCTCCCATCTCCTGAAACCTTATATATTGGGGGGGGGGAAGGTACGTTAATAACATCCCAGAACTGATTCCTATATGTAACAAACTAAAATACACTTATATGCTCCTCTTATGCAAGGAGGCGATCAAGTCTTCCATATAGTAGATCTCATCTAGCACAAAGAACCACATCCCCACTGTAGGGGGTCTAGACTGTCTTCACAACAACGTAATGCAGGATCTCGCCGCATTCATCATGTGGACCTGTGTGTGTTGTAAAGTAGCCACCGATCCAAGCCCACTCCCGTGATGGACTACAAACTCATGTTTAGTTTACTAATTTAAACTGAGATTGTAGTCCATCACGGGAGCGAGGTTGGAGCAGTGGCTACTTTACAACACACACAGGGACCAAGGGGAACAAAAGTATCCACCCTCCAGAAGGAAGGACAGTGTCCGCACCAATTCAGAGATGATTTGAGGCTCTACAGCCGAGTGACACACAAGATACATTTTTGTTAATAGTTAAGGTACTTTATGCAGACTTGTATTAGACTGTTTGCACTCAATTCTCCTCCCCATTTAAACGGTACAAAAGATTGCTGACCATCCACATGATGAATGCGGCGAGATCCTGCATTACGTTGTTGTGAAGACAGTCTAGACCCCCTACAGTGGGGATGTGGTTCTTTGTGCTAGACGAGATCTACCATATGGAAGACTTGACCGCCTCCTTGCATAAGAGGAGCATATAAGTGTATTTTAGTTTGTTTCATATAGGAATCAGTTCTGGGATGTTATTAGCGTACCTTTTAACCCCCCAATATATAAGGTTTCAGGAGATGGGAGCATTTTCAGTGACGAAGAAAGCCGCTGAGCCCTTTTTCTTTGTTATGGCCCTGATGGTGAGTTAAGCATAATGGGTGTGATCTTGTGCTCGATATGACTTTATAAGTATAGTTTTTACTATGTACATTATTTGTTCTCACTTATATGTTTTTTACAATGGTTGACTTGTTACCATGCCAATGATTGTTATATCCCATTTTGTTACTCTGAGCTATGTAATGCTTTTTCCTTTATCCGAGTGTTACTGTTTTCTTATTTCAATAAATGCAGAAATAAAAAAAAAAAATCTTTACTAAAAGAAGTTTTCTACACCATCAACACATTTTTTGTCATGCCTGGCCACTTCTTTAGACAAAATGTATGACAAATCTGTTAGAGGCTGAGAGTTCCATCGTCAGCTGTGCTGCACACGCTAGTATTCTGGTACTCACAGCCGGAAGGAGCCTGGGACTGCTAATAGGTAAGTATAGGTAAGTAAGGTGGGAGTTGGTAAAAGTTTAGGTCTTATATAGGCTTTAGGTCTGATTTAAGTTTAAAATTACCTTTGTTATTAAGCAGCAGTTCTGGAAACAATGCAGGCCATTGAGGCACAAAATAATGATTTGTAAGTCTTCACCAACAAATAATAAACCTTTTGTGATGGAAATGATGACATGTAGGTGCCCTCTGCCTTGGGGTAGCCCCAGACTCTAGGTTGAAGTCTACTTTAAAAAAGTGAGACATTAAGGAGGAGTGCAGGGGCATTGCTAATTGAATAAATGTAGGTGTTAGTTGCCAGTTCCCATGGTACTCCATTCCCAGGATATATAACCTAAAGCCAAGGTGGCACTGCTCTGAAGCACTGATATTATTAAGTTATATGACTTAGGTTGCATGACCTTGAACTGTATCTCTGTATATCTGGTGAGTAGTAAATAGCGCTACTATATACAGCAATACCAGGTCCACCCAGTACTTTGGTTAAGACGTAACTCAGCAGTAAGTGCCTTTCCCAACACCAGCATAGAAGGTATCATCAGATGGCCGTGTTGCCTTTTGTTTTACAGAGAAGGTTAAAATCACTATTCAACGTAGATTCAATTCAAATGAATTCCCTCCAGCGCCAATTTTTACCTTACCAACCACCCCAACCTGCACTTGAGCCCTATTGAAAAAACATTACTTTAAGGTATGGGGGCACAAATGCACCTTTCTACCACAAAATATTGCTTGGTGCCCGAGCAGCTAGTCACCAGGTCCAAGTGCTTGAGTGTAGGGGCATAACTAGCGATATGCAAATATTGGTTTTCAGAAAACGTATATTTGCATAGGATTTTTGTTGGAAGCAGAAGTGCTAATGGTAAGTTAGGGCGCTGGAGATTGCCTTATATGCAGCGGAGAGAAGTAGTCTGTATTTTATTTAAGGGGGGATCTCAAGTCTAATTAGGGATGTCAAGTATGCCACTGGCTGTGCTGATAACCTTACTCAATCTCTACCACTATCCCAAATGACTCTTAAAAATTGGATAAAATGCTCAAAATTTTCTGCTTCATTTCTATGCACTAAACCAGCATTTTTGGATGGAGTGTTGATCCCACTTGCTATCTAGAAGAAGGAATGAATATTATATTTAATGTGTTTTAAAAATGGCTGTATGTATATGCCATAAACCCTAGCTTTCCTGGGTCATATATGTTTTTTAACCCATATCCAAATGAAATTGGTACAGTTTCTACCGATTTTTTAACAGAGCTGTAAAATTATACCTTCAATTTATTGTGGAAACCTATAACTGCTATGCCTTGCCTACAGCAGTGAAGTTATTTATTAGATGCAGAGATGTCAGGCAGACTGAGACATGTACACATGGTATGCACCGCACGATGACCTAAATGAGACAGACATGAGGATTTTAGCTGTTTATTACAGAAGCAGAGCGGGTGGCTGGCTTCTGCACTGTCACTGTCAGGGACAAGTCAGTCACCATGACACCTAAATTTACTGGCAGCAGTCTTAGCATATTAAACATGGCAGCTCACATCTGTACATGCTTGACCAATCTCTGCATTAAATCAACCCTTCCTCAATGCTCATAGAAAATGCATGCATTGCAAACATGAACTATTTAGATTATAAATAAAGCACTGGTGCAAAATCAGAGAACAAAATCCTTGCTAGTCTAGCTGTGAGATACAGTGATTCCCAATGACAGTCATGTGTCATTGCTTTCTGCATACGTCTACCTCCAAGGGTTAATGATTAACATGAAGGTTTAGCTGCTGACTTTTTACAAAAATCAATCGGTAACTGTGCTGTTTAGTTTGCAGGTTTTGGGGAGAGTCTGTTTGAAATAGCTGACGAAGCAATTTACATAAACACTACTTGTTTATATGCTATGTAATGGTTCATATTAAAGAGCACTTTAGCCTCAGATGTTGATTTTGGGTGACAAAGGTTTCTCCTAATCCTTGGACACTAGTTGTGAAAATGTCCTGCAGTGGTTCTTGTTTTAGCCCCCTACCACAGAACCAAATTAAAGTTGGATTTCCCAGCTATTTGTTTATTCTGCATTATGGAATCAGCAATGTTATTCTATGGCTTTGTATTGGCAATGGCAGATGGAAAACTGGGCAACGTTGGAGAAATCACCACTTAAGTTGTTGACAGATAAAAAAAGAAACTTGATTCACTCTAGATTCACTCATAATAATTCTTCATCTGATTTACTGAAGATTCAACATGCCAAATAACCTTTTCATTTCATGTTGAAAAACTTTTGTAAACAGCTGATAAACTGGCAAATATCAAACCGTGTTCACATTATGATTGAAAATTCCACTCCGCGATGGTTGTTAATGAGAGATGTTGTCAGTGTGGACACTTGCCCAGGGTGGAGGGAACTGCAACTGCTGAGACATCCATGTAAAATCTGCTACATTATATTACTGGCAAACAACAGGTTTATTATAACGCTGCACTCCTTCCCTGTTTTAAGTGTGTAAACCTTGTAAACTTTAAAGTGATATTAAACCTTTGTTTTTTTTAACGGTTTCTACTGCTTTAACTTACATTAAAAAATGTTTTTTTATCCTTTAAATGTCTTAATTTCCTCGTTCTCTAGTGGTATCCAAAGCGCCACCCCCCTCATATGGATGCCTGCATCAGCTAGCTGGCTGCTGTGGAGGCACCCGGATGTGCATGCTGACGGCCATGGCCGCACCCAGCTGAGTGCGTCCATAGACACATACTGCATTTGGCCAGACACACCCCCACACTTGTAGTCACAGTTTGACTGATGGCAGAAGGAACCTGTGGCTGCTCTGCCCTTAGTACCCTCCCCCACAACCAGGAAGTTCAGAGAACCCTGAGGATACAAATGGCTGCAGGAAAGTGTGGGGGAGAACAGGGGTTTTAGACAAGTACTGGATGTTTTTTTCCTTAATGCTGACAATGCATTAAGGTAAAACTCACCCAGTACTATTCTAAGGGCCAGTTCGCAGTATTGCGCTATGGTAATGTGCATGTTACAGCATGGTAAAGTGCATGTTACAGCATGTTAAAGTGCATGTTACATATGTTGTGGGCTGGGGTATCATTTGTTCTGAATGGCACCCCAATGCACTAAGGCATCGCACCTGTGCTGCAGCATACAGAAACTCAGTACCCTGTATGCCCATTGTGTTCCCAAAAAAGCATCAAGTGCAGCTTTGCTTGTGATGGGGTGCATCGGCAGCCCTAACAAAATGAATGGGCTGCCTTAATGCAATGCATGTGAACATGTAACAAAATGCGCGTTCATCACACCAAAACAGTGTGAGCCTAGCACTGATGGGCAGGACTGGAAAACTTTGGAGAAACCACCACTTAGGTTTTTTAGAGAGCTATAAAAAGGAAACATATTTATAAAGCATTCAGTATGACTTTGAACAAACAGGTTATTGATTCACCCATAGTGAGTGTTTGGTGAATGTCACATTGACCATATTATAAATATGCCCTTAAGTCACACCCTGGAATTCATGAAGAATGTCTACGACACTATAGAATCCTGTCATGTATTCACACGACAGATGTTGGTGCTTGCCTCAGATTCATGGAAACAGGTAGGGAGGCGCACTGAGGCTGGAGTGTCCATACCTGACCTCATTGCAGCCCACCACCTCCCATGGTTGATTCACTGTTGTCACGCAGTTGTGAGCAGTTTTTCTGTGTAGCCAACAGCGTTCTAATAACCAGTAATGCTACAGTGGGAAGAGCCTGATGGGGATGCTGAGGGACTAGCAGGCAGTGGGCAGATTACATAGCCAATAGCAGGCTGTCTAATGGCTATGGAATCTGCCCGCTGCCTACTGTCAATCACCAGGGCAGTGGACCTGATGGGGAACTAGTCCCTCAGTTTTCTCATCAGGCACCACCCACTGTCAGCATAATTGGTTGCTATGTTGCATTCATCACTGGCCCCAATGACCCATTTCCCAATTGATAGCTGAATGTAAACAAAAGAGCCATGGCTATATTCAATTAATTATGTCAGCCAGCATCCTCAACCCCTTTGTTTACATTCAGCTGCTGGCTAGGGAATATCCTGGCTGGCATCTGAGTGGAGGCGGGGATGCGTCATTGGTTGCTAGGACATGGGCAGCCAGTGGTGTCGTAGCAAGCAATGAACCCTCAGTAGGAAGCTGTCAGATTCATGACAGCTTCCAGCATACAAATGCTCCACTCTGAGCACTGACGTCTCTCTGCACCCAGCTCAGGATTGGTTTTCATTACTGCCGGTTTTCTAATCTGTAAACTGGTGGTAATCTTTTATAAATCTGTTGCAGTCATAACAATAGTCTCTTAAATTCACACTATAAAAAAAACTACCAGAATCTTTCGTAAATGTTGGTAAAGCTACTAAAACTGACAACAGGGCTTTTTTAAATTTTGCACTGGAGCTTTTAAAGGGCCATACTAGTGGTTCATAAAAGTGGTACAAAGCCTTTACTGAATTCCCTCCCCATTTTTTTGCCATATCACAGTAACTTTCCTGCTCATTGATCTTTATAGACTCCAGCGCTATGAGGTAGGATTGGTATAGTATTCAAGTTCAGAATGTGTAAAGGATGGTATGAATTGTGTTATTTATGTAGTGCATTCAGATGCGCAAACCAGCTTACAACTACTTTTAGACTGTGTATAGGCAATGGTGAATATTACTTTTATTATAATTATTAATAATAATACTAATAATAATAATAAATAAAGCTGTGCTGAGGCAGCCAATAGACTCTCACTCATTCACTGACAAACTGAATCCTCTGACATCTGTTAAAGTCTGTTCCTACCTTTAATACATTCTTGGCATATTTGAACAACTGTAATGTTTATTAATTGTAGGTATCTGTAACAACTGTTAAAGAGACCTTGCCACTTTCTTTTACCATTGTGTAACACACTCGAGGAACATAATGCAATATGTGACAGCTATTATAAAAAAAAAATAAAAAAAAATTAGGTACTCTATAAATGAAAATGTGCCATTTGCCTGTACAGATCTGTTTTTCTTTCTGACTCAAGTAATAACTCCATGACAAGCGTATAGAAAGGACATGTATTTTGCCTAAAAATGTAAACCTTAAATATTTTTTCCTCTTTACCACTTCAGAAAATGAGGAACAGCAGCTCCCCTAATATGCTTTGAAATGCTTACAAAATGAAAACCCCCAAGTTTGGAACATCTTTGGAAGTTTAGTTATCCACCGTACAAGGAATACTCACGCCATAAGGAAGGTTCCCCCGGTATTGGAGATGCAGCCTCTAGTAGTCGGAGATGAATGCTGGTCATAACCGCAAGAACCACATAGCAGACCAAGGAAATAGAAGACTACAATGAGTGTGACCATACAGCAGAGAACGAGGGAGCCCAACCACCTGAAAGTACAGGGTACTGTCACATGGGTCTTATTTGTAGAAGACAGATCACAGTTATCTATATAGCATTCACCATTAGTTTATCATATTGAAACTTACCACTAGTCCATATCTACCAAATGTTCCCAATTTTCTAGAGGACTTGTCCCATCTTTCACCATCTTCAACTATATAGAAAACGTCACCAGCACACCAAATAACTTGTGTCAACAATCCATCTTCTTTATCGATGCAGACTGTCAAATGGTTATCTATGGATTTTCTATAGAGACTTCTGTGCTTGATTACTCTTAAAAAACTGGGCGTTCCTCCTTACAGCTGTTCATTTAAATTGGCTGCATGCATGACGGCTGTCTCTGCCCAGCTGTCATTAGCGTGAAGATTGGTCGGCTTCAGCCGACCTATATCCACGCTTCGGCTCTCACTTCGGCTCACTCGAGCCGAAGCATATGACTTCAGCTCAGCTGCTGTATGGGCTATTGTGAATAGCGTGTACAGCAGCCCTTCCGTTCGACTGAACCAAAGGACAGAGGTGGCCGAAGAGAGCTGAAGGATCAGTCGAAGCTACAGCTGGATCCTTCGGCTCTTTAGCCAATAACTCCCTTAATCACTACTTATCTCTAACATATGTGGATTTAATTTCATGCCTCCTTAAAGACAACAACAATTTAATTATCAAGCATGTGGATTGAAGATTAAACCATAAACACATTACTTGCCATGAATGAGTCATTTTACTGTGATTATGACCACAAAGGGACAAACGGTCACCCACATAGTAGTCAGAATGTCATTGCTATCACTGTTCACACTACATTAATGACATGAGTCACAAGACCACATGTATACTACAGACTGTACCCTGGGCAAAGTATATGACTTCTTTGTAAGCTAGATAAACAGTATTCCCTCTCACATAATGCAAGATTCCATTCATCAATACCAGGAAATGGCATTTAAATTAAAGCAGAATGCATAACTGTTTATTCAGCAGACAAAACGCCTACAATAAACAAACCTGGAGCTCATTCTTGTTTCATGTATTGCTGACATAGGACAATCCCATGTTTTGATATTGTTTCTCTGGAAACCTTTGTGCCAGGTTTTTAGTATGTTCCCATTGTACCCTACCCTCCAGTTTTTCTGCATGTTAGGTTACATTTAGGGGCCATTTAATTAGGTATCTGTACTATGTAGTACACCCATTTGCCTTTAGGTTTGCCTAAATTCTTCTCAGCATTCATTCAGATTTCTTAGGGAGTTTGGTCCATGCTGACACTGAGCATTATACTATTACTGCATATTTGCCTAATACAGTTCATATGCAACACATCTTTTTCACCAAATTCTGAAGGACTCTTTTTGTGTACACCAAATTCTGGCTCTACCATCTGCATGGCACATCAGAGACAATATTAGAGTCTTCAGACTAGCCAACATTGCTCTAGTGGTCAGTCATTTAGATTTTGTGCTCCAATGCCTTCTTGCAGCTTCAATTCCTGTCTTTGGTTGATAGGAGCACTTGTAGAAAATGATTGTTAGAGCAAATCTCTTGAACTTGAACAAGTCTCAACATTTTCCTCTGACCAATCTTGCTGGCAAGATGCTGTTTATGTTTTTCTGTAAACCCCAGAGACTGTAGTGTGAGGAAAATCCAAAGTGTTTGTTCCTGGCTTTAACTCTACAGGCAAGATTTTCTTATTCTTTCTGTCCTGTTGACAATTATCCCTGGGATGGGAAGAAAGGTGAATCTTCCCAATGTGGGTACAAGCGGAATTCAGAGGTTTTATTTTTTTCTCATTCTACTAAAAACCATAGTTTTATTTTTTGGGGGGCACGCCAGCTGCAGACCTCACAAGGCTGTTTATCAAGTGTCAAAAAATTGATAGTCTCCCTGGTGGGATGCCCACCTGGGGAATCTATTGACATAAAAAAAGGCCCGTAGAATCATTGCAAAAATAGTAATATTAAATATAATAATAATTATTAAATAAATATTGCAAAATATGACATTGGTTAGCATCAATTGTGAATCAACAAGGCAGGGTGAAAATGGCTCAATATACACTTATCTGTACTGAGATATTCTGCTAAAAAAAATACACAATAAATGCTGGGGAGCACAATGAAAAGGTTAAAGTGACATTAAACCCTCAGATTTTTTTACATAAAACAATACTGTAATGTGCGCCTTACTGTAATCCATGGTAGTTTCCCTTCTCTTTGCTGCTCTTCCTTTTAAATCCTCATGTCTTCTCATGCTTGGGGAGAACTTCCCTTTTCAGCTCAGGGCCTCTTCCTGTAGTGCTGAGTCAGGTTACAAGCTATACAAACTTTTACACAGACACCGTGTATCCATTCCTGAGACAAGGCAGTCTGCTGCAAAACAGAAGTTCTGCCCAGCATGAGAACAGATACAGATTTAAAAGAAAGAGCAGCAAAGAGAAGGGAAACAACCATGGATTACAATAAGGCGCACATTACACTATTGTTTTATGTTTAAAAAATCTGAGGGTTTAATGTCACTTTAAGGACAGGAAGATGAAAAAGAAAATTCAATAGCAAAATTATAGGAAGAGAAGAGAAAAAGGAAAATTCAATTACAAAATTATAGCAAGAGAAGTGAGGGTGCAAATAAAGGCAATGGGATGAAATTGGGAATAGGGATGAAATTGGGAATAGGAAAGAAAGAGCAAGATGTATCTTAAATCCCTTTGACCAAGCAGGCAGGTGATATGTATGCTACATACTGATGAAAGGTGTTCTATGATTATTTATTTGATTATTTCCAAAGTGATATTATAAACACATGTGATGACTGAAGGACAGGAATAGGTTACAGCTATTATTTTGGGAACAAATTTCACACTACAGCATTAGAGTCCTTGGTCTGTCCCACTACATTAAATGGAATATACATTATATACATCATAACGCAATTGTCTTCTATGACCTGCCTGAAACAACCTAAATGAAAAAAACTATTCACAATAAAATAAAAAAATACTAAGACCTTAATTCTCCACTGCTACAAAATACAATGGGATACAACAAATGTCTAAGATATCATACAACAAGTTTGGGCTCAATCCTTATCATTCTGCCTCATAAAACTGACATTGTACATCAGTCTCTCCAGTCAATCTGACAGGAATTTCAAGTATTTGTGAATTAATTTGTATATACTGTATGTCCCAATGTGAAATGAAATCACATTCCAGTAATGATCATAGGAAGTACTAAAGTTTGAGGGATGTAACACTGCTACTTGTCAGGTGACGGCAGAATAATTTGGATAAGAGTAATTCACAAATGTACACACTTTCACAATATTCTAGAAAAAAACATTTAAAAGAGTTAATGTAGTTGTAGTTACTAACAAATTCCTTTAACACAAGATGGCTTTTCTGGGCTTTGATTTTTGACTAACAGTTGTTTCTATGTATTAGTAAATTTGCAAAGGTTCCCAGCCAGCAAATATTTTCTTATATGTTTGTGTCTAGAGAACATGTCAACTCATACATTTGAGCACTGTAAATGCTTTACACTCCAGAAATTATTCTATAGGCAGTAACATATTTTGATTAATTAACAATTCTTAAAATTGTAAAATGAATACAGAAAATGTATTGGACACGAAACTCAGTAGTTAAATCTTTAAAATGCATTTAAGTACCATAACGATTAACAAAAATTTATCTTATTTGTGTATCACTAAGCTGTAGATGCTCAAATCTTCTCTGATTTGCTGGTGACACTGTCTTTCCTTCTGGAGGGTGGCTACTTTTGTTCCTCATGGTCCCTGTGTGTGTTGTAAAGTAGTCACCGCTCCAAGATCTCTCCTGTGATGGACTACAATCACAAAACAAATTAGTAAACTAAACATGAGATTGTAGTCCATCAAAGGAGTGAGCTTGGAGTGGTGGCTACTTTACTACACACACAAGGACCATGGGGAACACAAGTAGCCACCGTCCAGAAGGAAGGACAGTGTCACCACCAATTCAGAGAAGATTTGAGCATCTACAGCTTAGTGATACACAAATAAACTAAATTTTTGTTAATAGTTAAGGTACTTGAATGCATTTTTAAGATTTAACTCCTGAGTTTAGTGTCACTTTAACCAATACATGTTGACACTGCTCAATTTGGCCTGGGAATATGGGCTTTAATGACCTTTAGTCAAAAAAGGGTTAATGGAAAGCCCCCATTGCAGACCTCTTATTTGTAAGATGTTACTTCCCTGGCCTGGATTCTGATACTCTAACTTCAATGCTGTCTAAGTTGCTGATTGGAAACAAATATAGAGAAAAGGATTTCTGACATTTTTCGATACTGGTTTTGGTAGTGATTTAAAAATGAGTGAAGTGACACAACCTGGCATCTAACATTTTGAGAAGGATGCCTGCAATGGCAGCCCCCATACTTTTCTCACATTAAATTGACCATCCACGTTACATCACCTGTAAAAGTCGTACTGTTCAACCACAGGGTAGTAGTTCCGAATAAACATCTCACTCTGCGCTAGATATGATGTCAAGTTGGACATGACTTGAAGAATTGGGATCATTTTTGAAAAGTTAGTGATATTTACTCCAATGGAATCCAAGATGTTCTTCACAACTAAAAAAAAAATATATATATATATACATTTATTCTCATTAATACTGTTATTGTCATCTGTTAATGGCAAATGGAGATTTTGGGCACCTAAGAACTACACTTGCCAGGAGTTTCTGACTAAGGATTATGGAAGATATACATACTTATCAAATAAGACAGTGCAAAAAGTAATGAGGATTGCAGTAGCATACAGCAATTAGCCAGAAACCAGATTTCTGTAGTCAGATAAAAAGTAATTGTTGATTGGTTGCTGTAGATAATGAACTTTGCATATCTCATTTGAGTTTACAAATGCTTATTGAAGAAGTTAGATGGCACTTGGGCGTCAACCTATTTGGTAACTATTAAAGCTTAACTCCAACCATACTTTCAGGGGTTTTTTTCAGTTCACTTTTTCACTACTTTACTTTCTTCCTGTGACTCCACTGGAAGGACTTGCACATACTTTTTTGTCCATATGATACCAGGACAGGAAAGAAGTAGAAGGGGGTCCACAGGGACAGGAAGGTACCGTCAGCACTAAAACCTTAATGAGGTTATAATCTTTTCCCTCTCTACTAACAATGATCTTTAAGTCTAATCCTTGTGCCCAGGAAGAGAGGTAAGGGGAAAACAAAACCCTAATAGAGGTTCTATCCCTTTCCTGTGATTTAAAGGCTAATTCCACCTTTGTGACCATGGTTCATGTTACACCCATATCGAAGGTGTAACATGAAACATGGTCACATTCACCAACACTTTCCCTCAAAAAGCTACCCCCATCCTTACCTGGGTTCAGCATCCTGTGGTTTTATTTCTCACTTAGAAGCTGTGTGTGTCTCTGGAGAGACTACAAGTCCCATTTGCCAGTGCAGCAGGGGAATTTGTACATATCAATGATGCTCAATCATGGTGAGTGATTGATTGATTACTTACTCCAGCTCCAAACCCTCAGGTCTGTACCTCAGTGCGGACCTAGAGCTGGGGGAAGAGTCTGCAGGAGCCTGTGCATTGCACCCATGATCCACTCATGGTAGCAATGCTTTGCAGGCTCCACTACAACAAATTAATAAATGCACGTTTTGCATTTCATTAATGTGTGTGCATTTCTTTTTTTTTTTGCAAAAGGTGGAATATGCTTTTAACATGCAAGGCCACCCAAAACTGATATTTAAGTGTGCAGGGTTGATTCAACCTTATCAGCATCCAACCACCAAAATATCAGTTCTGGCTTGAGTTGGCCATAAAATATTTTGCACAATTCAATAAAAGGATGTCATGAGAGAGGAAGATCAAACCACAGAGTGAAATGTGAACACTACAACACACACATGACAAAACTCAAACAATGTAGAATGGATGTTTGGCCGTACAGAGTCAGAGTTTTCTTTAACTTGAACATTGAATATTTTGTAACACATTTTTTTTTCTCTCTGTCAGTTTTGACATCAGGTTTTGGAATTTATGGTATTTTTTTTTCTTTTGCCTCTGGGACCGATTTCCAAGTAAGAACAGCCATATTCCCTCTGTGATGTTGAGACTTGAAAGAGACTTGTTTTATAAGAAATAGCTGTCTTTTATAACTTAAACTTTGACCCAAATGCAAGTATGATGAGTGCATAGTACACTCTTATAACATAGATGCACATATTAGAATAATGCATGTATGTATGTATGTATGTATGTATGTATGTATGTGTGTGTGGAGACAGATATATTATTATGACTGTTATGGAAAGAACAAGATTAATTGGTTTTAAATAAGAGAAAAGAATGATTTAATTCATTTTATTAAATATAACATTAAATGTGGCACAGTGTTTTCGCTGGGCCTTTCCATTCAAATATGATCTACATGTCATAAACTTTAACTTTCTCTTGGGTTTTTGACTTTCATGCCATTAATGGATGTTAAAGTTTTGTATACTAAAGAGATGAATTAAAGTTATAAGTTCTACAACCAAATTTTTACAAAAAAATGAGGTTAAATTCTATACAAACCTAAACAATAAACTTTGCTCCTGTTTGGTCTGTTAAATATAACATTGAAAGCATTTTGTTAAATCTGATGGATAAGTGTAAAAAAATATTTGATGATCCAACCAGAAACTTGTGAGCTGATAACTTTTTGTGCTCTCTGCTAGTCCTGCACTCTTACCAATTACATTTGTCCCTCACTTCTAAGTTATGGAAAAGAGAAGATCGGGAAGAGTTCTGTAGTACTGCCCTAGGGTAACAAAGCTGCTCCTCTGTGTATACAGTACAGTGATTGAACATTTTTACAGTATCACTAGGTAAACATAAAGTAAAGAAAGACTGCCAAAATGAAAACTGATGCAGCCAACACATCCATGGACTGGTAAGCTGCAATATATGGCATTTGTCTTGGGTTTGGATATGCTAGATATTTTACTTTGGTGTAATTTCACTACTGGCCACCAGAGAGAGGGAATTAGAAGCTGTAAAATAATACAGCATTCACCGTGATGAAATGCCAAGGTTGCTTCCTTTGCACACAATAATCAAAAAAAGATTAAAGAAAGCTCTGACTTTACGGTATGAGAAACCCATTGGCTCCTCTGGAACGGTATCATCTTGAAGAACTTACAAGGAATAGCTGAGATATTAATCCAAAAACAGGTCCAAAAAGATTTTGTTAGTGATGGAAAAAAAAACGGCATTAGTATTTTTACTGTTAACATATTAATTCCACATAAAAATGCAGCTTTCTTTTTAATAAAGGGAGGCAAGTGACTGGGAGTAGGTGATGGTGGTAAGGATGGCCTCCTCCATGAAGGTTTACATTCAAAAGGACCCGAGTTATTCTCAATGGCGTACAAACCATAGTTACCTGAAGACTAGATTTATTTTTTTTTAAAAACACTTTTTAAAAGAGATTGTATTGATTTATTGGTGTGTGGATGTTATTGCTTTAATGCTCTTGTTTCTTTTTATAATTTCTGATTATATATGTACCATATATGTGGCCATAGTCAGACATTACATATGTAGCACTTGCTTTGCAGTGCTACACGATGGCTGAGCTGTACTGCTCATGCTAAATTCTATGAGTCAACTGACTAATTAAAAACAATGTTCTTTATCTGCAGCCAATATCTTATCTTAATGGTTAGGAAGAGTGAAATAGTAAATCATCTGCCCTGCGTCTGATGACTTATTGCACCATAGTGTAGGTTCTGCATCTCTTAAAGCAGAACTAAACCTTCATTTTGATAAATGTTAGCAGGTGGAGTTTTATGGCCGAAGAGACTCTGTACATCTATGCCATGAAGCCTCTTTTTCCTTCCTGTTAACAATTCTCGCATGTGCAGTGCAGTGTAGAATCCAGAACGGGTCCTGGGGCAATGTAACTCCCCTGCTCATGCACTAGAATTACGTTATCCTTAAACAACCAATGGGAGAAGAAAAGGAGACTCTGGAGGAAGACAGCAGCAGTTGCCAAGGACTGACAAGGTTTAACACTTCGTCTGGCGTTTGTTTCCGCGCTGAAACACATGCAACATTTAATCCCATGTTGTATTGTGCGTCAAAATATCCCGGGTGTTTGAAATAGTCCCTGAGCTTCGTTTGTGGCACTTATCAGTCCATTTTGCTTCATAGACTTTAATGTAAACGCACCGATCAGCATGTTTTTTAAGCACGTTTTTGCAGCTGAGACTGCTTTTCATTGGACAGCTGTAAAACTAGCTGAAACCGTACCTTGAAACGCTCTTGGTTATAAACAGAAAATGCCTGTTGAAACGCACAAAATTGCGCTAAGGAATGTGCGCATAGCCTGTTGAAACACTGTCGCCTTGGTGTGAATGTGGTCTGAAGAAGGACTCACTGAGTCCAGGATCACCCCCAAATTAATGCATGTTACCATAACAGCCTAAAAGCTTTGTATGCAAGAAGAGAATACTTCAAGGATATATTCTTTGGTGGTGGTTGGGAAGAAAATAGGCCTCATCAGGGTAAATAATGTGTGTAATTTGTTTTAAGGGGGAGGGGACTAAGAACCTAACTTATCATTGTGGCTCCACTATTTTTTCCAAGGTTCAAAAAGTCCAACAACAATGTGACTCACTACCAAGCCACTGTAGACAACAGGCAGCTTCAGAACATGGAGGAGGAGAAAGTCACACTAGACGTTTGAAGTTTGGACTGGGAGGCCTAAAATACATGAAGAAAATGTATGGTGATTTTGTACACATTTCCTTTCTTTTTTTACTCTGGTCAGAACCTAAAAATAAGATATAAAAAATATATTTTTGTCATTGTCTTCAGTCAGGTAATTATAGCATATTACATATGAATATTATGTAGTCTTTTATCCAACCAGAATATTTTCCTTTGTCTCTGTTGTATAAAGCAGAGCTCAATAGCTCCAGATGAAATGTACACACGAGTCAGAGAAGTTGCTCATGCTTTATCAGGGGACTCCATCAAAGGTTTCAAGTCAGCCTCAAGGCAGGTAGCATCTGCTGTGCTTTCTCTTTAGGTAACCCATGGTGCAGTGTGAACCATTTGTCATGTATTAAATGCTTATTAGTAAAAAAAGAAAACAGATTGTAACACCTATAAATGTTATGATTCCCTTTATTGTCCCTGACCTACCTCACCCCCATTTGATTGGGGGAAATGGTAAGCGAGTTAACACTTTAAAAATACTAAATCTTGTTCCCTCTAACTGACAATAAACACACATTTACCTTTAACATTTTCCTAAGGTCTCTATTGTAAAAAACAAAGTTAAAGTTGAACTTCAGGCAGGTAAAAAAGACGCATTGATGCTGTTCTATATTCATTAATACATCATATAATTATTTTTTTTTCACAAGCAGTGTATGTATCTTGACCTATCATCCTGCAGTCCCTGTACAACAGAGCTTTGACTAGGCGAGGGAGAAGCAGCACAAGGAGCCAATCAGTGGTGCTGCGGTGCTCATATACTAACAAGGAACATGCTGGTAGAAAGTAAGAGCAGAGTGACAGAGACTTGAGCTTATCAGTTAGCTGCTTCCTTCTTGGTAGGTAAAACAGCTCTCACATATGTGCACTTAGCTGTTTGCCTGGAGCTCAGCTTTAATAAACATTTCAGTAGGTTTAGATATAAGTGCACGTTTTATAAATACTTTTACACTTTCTCGTTATTCTTTCCCTTTTTATCCTAAACTTGTAACCCATGGTAGTGTAACAAATATCTGCACTCACTGCCATTTCAGATCAATCAGAAAAGACATCCTAGATATAAACTGCAAATGTTACTGTAATTTACCACGGTGTCGGCAGCAACTAATCAGTGGGGAGGAAACTTACATCTCATAAGTTGATTTACAACGTTGTGATTGTGGCTTTTGGCAGTGTGCACAACAGCTCCCTAATATCGGCTTCACAACATTTGAAAGAATATTAGTTTTGATAGCTGATCAAAAGTGCTGCATGCTGTTATTACAAGCAATCGGCTTCTGGTCTCACATAAATTCTTCCTCAGAACATCAAGCAATGAGCTGAAAAGCACTTCAGCCTACTCCAGAATTTATTTCGCCTGCTGTCTATTACAAGGCACATGAATACATTTCCTTTAGGTCTCTAACTATAAAGCTGTGCTGTTTTCTGTGAATAACGCTCTCATTTTATTTCTCAAATTCTCTTGACATCTCTACCATAATATGATATTTTCCTGTGTGTCAGTCCTTGATGGCTACAAATTTCCATCAAACCTAAGAGCGTGCAAAAGTGTGGAGGCCATTTTGTGACAGACCTTTTTGTTGGCCAAACCATTTTTCAGTTCCTTGGGAATAACAATATTAATAATTGTAGACACACACATGAAGCAGTTGAGCAGTGTGGTAATTTCTCCATTATAGGACAACTTCCTGCATACCTCTTCTTTTTCTTAGAGTATATTGAGGGACAGGGATGTAGTAATTTATAGACATGTGGGTTATGCAACTGCCTTCAGGAGGTGGACAATGGCAAACAGAAAAAAAGTTTGCCCCTAACAGTCTTGCTATAATTTTTTAAGCAAGCAGAGTCAAGACACAGAGAGGTAGGACCTGCGTCTCCCAATACACTTCAAGAAAAAGATTTTACAGTATGTACAAACATCTTATTTTCTTCATTGTCCATTGAGGGACCCAGGGATATAGTAATTCATAGAAATGTGGGATGTCATGGTGAGGTAGGGTGGGCAACATTCACTGAAAGATATAAAGGATGTGGAAATGTTAATAGAAGGGTATCCGAAGGAATAACGGACTGAAAGGCCAGTGAAAAAATGGGGGATCGATATGAAAATTGGAACTGTAACGAAAGGCACCAAGAATTGTCCACAGCAGGACAGTTAGAACCACTAGGGAAAGGCTGCTATCTGAAAGGACAATGGACCTCCACAATAAAGTGGAGGACAACTCAGCAACCACCAAAAGGAAACATACATTATTATTATTATACAGTATTTATATAGCACCAACAGTTTGCGCAGCGCTTTATATAATCCTTGACCTCAGGGAAGGAATGTTGGACAAAGTATGTCTCATCTAAAGATTAACCAGTGAACAGTTGGGGGTTGAAGCAAAATAGCCTTAACCCTTGAACGCAAAGAATAGAAGATCCAAAATAAAACAGCTCTCAGGAACAATTTTAGGGAAGAGAGGTAAGGAGGCCTTCAATGTAAAACAAAGAAGGGTGAAGTACCAAGTCCCTTTTAAAGGAAGGGGTGAAGAGTTTCCCACCCGTAAGTAAATAAAAGGGAAGCTTACAGCCCATTTCCGTCTTTCCTGAGGTATTTAAAAAAAAAAAGATATGCCAGCAATGTACACCAAGCCTTCATGAAGCAGGCATATGCAGTTGCTGTATATGAACAGAGAAACGTAATTTTTTTTGTCAGCTTTCCTCTTCATACCCTCATGGAAATGGCTGCCTCTGTGCTTTGCAAGGAATGTCTGTATATTACAAGGGAC